TCAGCAGGGGACTAGTTAACGCAGAAGAGCCTCCTGCACCTCAAGTAATTAAACTGATGAAAAGTACAGCATGCTCTCTCTCTCAGATCTGGGCCTGCAGCCCAGACTGGGCTACAGTTTCTTGTGCATCAGGTCTATAGCATTTTAATGGGGCAACGAAAGCAGGAGGAGAGGAGTAAAGTCTCCATCCCTCAATCCCACACTGACAGGATGGGAGACCCTAATGCTTTGTTCTTACCCCGCATCGTCTACTGCACATCTCAGAAGGGCTATAAATATTAGGCAGTCTTCACAATCCTCCAGGAAGCAGAGAGTAATTTATTTGCGGCAGAAGAGATAGAAAATCAGATCTATTTTGCTTTCCCTTTAGTTATTCTGAAAGCTGGAACAAGAGCTAGGAAGAGAGCCCAGATTTCCCAGATCACATGCTTCTGCCCAGCTTAGCAGACTGACCGAACATGTCCTTGGTCCCTCATCACTTGTGTGGAGGGGTTATATCCCCCCACTCCTAGACTCATGCACCCCGGCAGGCTGCCTATATGCATGAGATTGGGACTCTGCTTTTAGAAAGGAGATCCCAAGTACAACAGAGGTTTTCATGCACAAAGTGGGCCGTGCTGTACGTGAGACAAGGCAGATGGGAGCAAGGCACAGGCAAAGCTCCACCCTTAGCCGTACCACAGAAGTGCTTTTTTGGCCAGCCTACTTTAGCAACAGTTTGTTTTATGGTGGCTATATGTATCCAAACACCTCCCTCATCTGCCTTTTGTAAGCAACACGGGAGAAATATCCATCCCAGTTGTTAGCCTGACTAAAGAAACTGGATTTTCTCTCTCTCTCTCTCTCTCTGAACCCATTAGATGCAACTCTTCCTGTCTTTGCCTTCATAACCACCTCATTTAAAATCCATCATTCCTTAATGAGGTGAGCACACATCACTTTGTATTTCCAGTGTGCACTCATCTGATGGTCGCAGCAGCTCTAAGCGAAGCAATACCCCACCCTGTTGCTAGAAGGGAAATAATCTGCGGGAGGGTGGCACCCTCCAGCCTCGCATGCAAGGCCAGTCAATTACGTCCTGCCGCCGGGGCACCGCTCACTCAATGCCCACGAACCCCAAATCTACTGGAAGGAAATGGAGACCAGAGGACATCTCTGAGCTCTCAGCTCCCTGCAGCTGATCTGTAAAGTCTGATCACAGCCTCCTGCAGTCGTCATTTTATGGTATTAAGTTTAGTTTATGGACAACTCGTTTGAAAGTTATTTCCCCCAATACTGGCTACTGTTCAAGGCCAAGAATTTTGGAGTAGGCAAACCACTGTCCAATTCCCAACACCTAAAAAAGCTTAGTTACCCTCTAGCACATGGAGAGTACCTGGTTTTTTGAAGGAGCTGGCCCTGCAGGGTACAGTCATTCCCCTAATTCTCATCTGTTGCATCAGCCATTCAAAGCAACTTGAGGGTACGGAGATGGGTGGTGATATAAGCAGCCCTCAAAGATAAAACCACATCCCTAGAGGGGAAAAGGAGCTAGGGAAACAGAGCCCATCCAGCCCAGCTGCTTCCTGCACCCCAGCATCCTCTCAGCTGTACGCCTGGTGAGCTTGGGAATGGGATCTCAGATTGCGGAGCATTGAATGGAGTTTATAGATCTGGTGCCCAGGGTGCTAGCAGACACCAAAAAGAAAGAAGCCCAGTTTCACCTGTTATTGCATGAGCTCATACCACCTGTAGCCCCGTGGCATCAAGACTATAAAGTGAGAACAGTGGAAGTACTTCACACTAAGACTAAAACCAGGGACTGAACACTGTATTTCGCTCCCCTCCTGCACCGGGCTCTTGTTTGTCAACTTCTTTCTTCAATTTCCCTCACCTCTCCTGGCCAAATCAGCCCTTTTGGCCAGGAAATTAAGTAGTGCATGTTCCAGTTGTTCCGAAACATGTTTTTGGCCTTCACCCAGGTCAGGACAAAGTGACAGGAGAGGAAGGAAATCTGAAAAGGAAGGAAAACTCTAGTGGGGTTCTAAAATAGAGACTGTAAATCAGGATTCAAGATTTATTCTTGTTTGCTGCCACAGATGCCTGTAACTCTTTGCTGCACAAAGGCTGTTACATCACATGCTTCTCCAGAGTTTCTTACGGAAAGCAGTACGGATTGCCTGGGCAGTATGTAATACAGCATGTTCTTGTGCACTTCAGATCACCTTCCCAAGGAGGTAAGCCCTTGCTAAAAAAGCCCGAGCTGAAAAAGCTTCACATTTTCCCATTCGAATTTCCTCTATTAGCGTGATGGGATACTCTCATAGCCCGCCGACGGAGTGACACACCAAATGTTTGCAGTCTTTTGTTCACAGGATGCCAGTGAAAGGGGGAGATTTTTCTCACGGCTGAGGTGCAACATGGATAGCAACCACCGCAAGAATTCACATGCGAATGATCAGTATGGCGCAAGGTTAAGTGAAATAATCACTGGTTCATCTTTTCGTGGAGTTCTCTGCAGCAAGTCCAGGAGCACGCTTAGAAATCACAACATCTGACCCTACAACAGCAACAAGCTCTGCAAGCATTCGCTAACTGCTCTTAAAACTCTTTGGTATTAAGAGTGCCGTTCCTGACAGACACCGTTCTGTGCAGGAATGCCTTTTGCTGTGGGAGGCTGTGCCCACATTTATTTTCTCCCTGTCCAAAGACCTCACCTCTGCCTGCATCACTTATCCTCCCATCTCAAGCACCCGGACTGCTCTAAACCTAACTCTCCTCACGTGCTCATCATTTACCCGGTGTTCCTCTCCATGGCGATCCATTTCCCTCCCGCGGGGCTCGCACTTCAGCCATCACGAAGTCCGTTTTCCAGCCGGGCCTGGGAAGCGGCGGGTGCT